GTTCACATGTGTGCTGGACACAGGATCTATGAAAAATCTGTATCTCTGAAGACAAAAATCATCCCTGGTGTATTGAGATACTGAAACTGAAAAAAGGAAAATACAAAAGGGGACTTTTATTTCCCACACACTTCCATCTCAAACACACTACAGGGAACCTGTTCACTGGTGAGAGTGGTGAACTGAATCCCTTCCCTACTTAAATCACTTCTTTCTTTTACTTATTATTGTTGCTGTTGTTATAATTTATTACTATTATTTACCATGCATGCAGAGCTGAACATAAGTTAAGTAAAATATAGGCATGCTTTGTTTCCACTATAAATTTTTAGCCAGTAGCATAGACAAATACACCTGCCTGGATAATGTTAAGTGCATGTGGCTTTCCATAAATATTCCTTAATTGTTATACCTAGCTCCAGCTATATGCCATACACCTGCACTTAGTGCTGGGGAAAATGAGAGTCAGCCACAAGCCCCAAAGTATAGCATGGGAGAAAAATAGAAACAAACTCATTCATTGCCATGTAAGAGTTGGACATAAGAGGCAAGATGGACCTGGAGAGGGTAGGGGAGGCTTAAGGAGATGACCTTCACCCCCAGGGTGCTGCACACAACCCTTACCTCCCCCTTCGCCGATTCAAGCGTCACCTTCCTAGCATCCCCATTTAAAACTCCCTGCATCCCCATTTAAAACTGTCAACCCCTATTCTGCCACACACACTCCTCTGCCTCCTCGCTGCTTTTTCCTCCCTACCACTCACCACCTTCTGACCACATCTTTTACTTGACTTGTCCTTCTCCTTCCATGAGAAGGCAGCTCTGTGAGGGCAGGGATTTCATCTGTCTGTTCACTGCTGAATCTCCACCTTAGACCAGTACCCAAGTACATAGAAGGATTTGGATAATACTCAGAAGCCTTTCCCAGCCCCATTAAAGGGCTCTTCTGGTCCTCCTTCCTTTTCCTTGACAGCATGTACCAAGGAACTGAAGTGATCTTTTTTTCTTTAAAAAAAATTGTCACTCATTGTTCTTTTACTCCTCACTAGCATAGAAACTTCATAGGAGCAAGTTGTCTGGTTTGTTCACTGCTGTGTCCCCAGCCCTTAAAATGCCCTGCTCATTTATTCAATGAATTTCCCTCAAGTGCATGACCGTCATCATCATGATCACAGCTCATAGTCACTGAGCACTCAGCATATGTCCAATGGTTTTATCGGCATTATTTTTCCAAATCCTCACAGCAACCTATAAGGTGGGCATTGTTATAATTCTCATTTTGGAGATAAGGAAACACAGATAGTAACTTGACTAAGATCTCAAACCTAGCAAAGGGAAGAGGCAGCAAATAATTCTAAGCCATCCAACTTGAGCTTTGCTTTAATCACTGTTCTGCTGCCGTGACACAATGCTGTCATCACTCTTGGGCTCCTTTGGTGGTTCCTCCCTCCTACCCCACAGTGATCTGCCCTCTCTAACACCCATGGCCACCGCTAGGATATCTTCCACACTAAAGCCAGAATGACACTGTCAAATAGCAAAACTGATCACCTTACTCTGTTTTAAATCTCTTCATTGGCTGTCCATTGGTAGAACTCACATTTTGGGGTCCTATCAGCAAAGTGATCAATATTTATAATAATCACTCTGGAAGGATGACATTGCCATTTTCAGAAAAATTAGAGACTATGAAGATCATGGTAGATATGGGAGAAATGCTCTACCTTTGAGATGAGAAATAATGAGAAAAGGCTTATTTGATTATAACAGACTGGGGTTTATCAGTAGTTCCAGAAATATTTATGCAATATCTAATCAGATGTGGTAAAGTAGATGTGTTAAAATGGATATTCCTGGGCCCCACCCCATCTCATTAATTCCGAATCTCTAGGGATAGGGTCAGGAAATCTACATTTTTTGACAAGTAATCAGGGTACTCCTTTGACATTAAAGGTCCTAATTTTTTTCAATTCTAACATATAGATAAGTACTTACATGTTGGGCACTATTATATAAACCATCAGTGTCAAGACTAAGACCTAACCAGCTTTATTTAATGACCAATGAGAACTCTCTTGTTCAACAATAATGTTATAGGACTCATGGATTCAAACCTGTCCTAACTCACGTCACAGTTTTCCAAAAATGTCCCATGCTTGAGTGGCTCATGCCACTTCACAGGACGCTGAAACTACCACGTCCGGTAAAATCAACTTACTTATGCCAGGGCAACAGTTTTACTATATGTTCATTCCAAACCTTATGCATTTCTTCCCTTAAAATATAGCATCCTGGCTGGCAAGGCTACAAGATAGAGGAAAAAAAGCAAAATAAAACCCACAAACCATGTCCTGCCCTTAGTAGGGGCTTGACTTCTGAGATCATGCTAGGTGGGATTCAAAGGAAAGCAAATCTGTTCAGGTCTTTTGCATTCTCACAGATCCCCAAAAAGGTGAGAGATGAGCTCTGTTAATGGGGGAGTTCAATGCTCATCCACCTGGCACCCCAAGACCCTGGTACTTTTCCAGGCTTCACTGACATTATCAGAAGTGGTCTGAACATTATCAGATGTTCCTCTCTGGACACGGGGTGCCATTTACGGCTGAAGATGAGCAAGGAGAAAGGTTCTCACCAGGTAAACTTCCCTGCCTCCAGCTGGGAAGGGTCCCCACTGCTCATAGCAGCAACAGGATGGAGCACCAACATTAAATCTTCTGCTCAAGATTCCAACTGATTTTTCCTTTCCTTTAACATATTTTCAAATGATTTAACTTGTGTAAATGACCCCAAAAATCTGCTTCTCTCCACAAAATGTTAAAAAACAAAATAAAACAAAAAAACAAAACAAAACAAAACCCTTGATCAAATAAAAGTCAAACAGCTCTGAGAGCTGCTTGAAATGACATGGTATTTAACCATGGTGCCATGGAAATTTTCTAACTTAAGCCATGGTATATAGTTGAACAATTTCTTTTGAAATTTCAGAACCTAAGTACCAATTTTTAGCTCTGATGCTCATGTGTTTCTATATAAAAGAAAATGCTCTACCCTATGTAACACAAGACAGAAATTAACGGTGCTTTAGAAACAATGATGGTGTATTGCAATACTCAAAGACACCTACAGGCGAAAACAATTGTAGAAGAGCCAGAGAAATATATTTTCAACATATTTCATAGGTATGAAGACAATTTTTCACAACCCACATTGAATTAGCAGTCTCATCACATAAATAACCCTCTGCGGATACTACATAATCTCGGTAATAAGTAGTATTTACCATTACATAAAATGAACAAAATAATCCCTGGTCAGATGCAATGCAACAAATTAAGGAGAAAGAAAAGTGAGATTATTCAAGGTCAGTAAAGATTACTTAGCACTCACTAAAATGAAACAAATGAAAATAGGGAAAACAGTTCAAATTTTGCAAGGTTTCCATCTTTCCAGACTGCATTTCGGTTTTCTAATTATAAATGAAAGCTTGGAAGTATAAAATCACTGGTTATTTATTCCCAATAGAAGTTTCTGATTTCCTTACAAGTTCTTAGGATTTCAACTCTACACCAAGGCAAAGGGAAGATTGTTTTCTCCACCCCACCCAAAACTCCAAAATTCCACTGTGGACCCTCTCAGCCATGAAGCATGAAAATGACTCTCAACTCAAGACTCTCTTGAACATGCTGACAGAATCTGCCAAGACACAGAGTAAGAACAGCAGGGGGAAGCAGCATTCCCAGGGAATTAGAAAGGCCCCATTGGTCAAATAAGAATAGCTAAAGCTGTTTAAGATACCAAAACCAGTATTCCATTTAGACTCTAAATTCTTAAGCAAATGTGAAAGACAAAGAAAACAGGTATTAATGCTAGCATAAAAATGTTTTTGAAATTTAGTGTTTATTTGTCAAATACCGACTCCTTTTTTTTTTTTTTTATTCCTTTCTGTTTCTGATCTTTGGAAAAACCACATCAGTATCAAATGTCACTTAGTTCTTATTCAAACAGAGGGAAGCAGACACAGCGGCTGCACCCGTGACTTAGGTGACCTGGGCCCTCAGTAAAAACCAACCTCTATAAATCACCAGATGTAAGCAATTGGGTAGTGATCACTTTAATTAATTGAACAGCTTTCCTGAAATTTACTGTATAATTTTAACCCTCATGACACCTTTCTCAGAAGCAACCAACAATGGTGGGCTTTTAACTGGTTTAAGGAAGGAAAATGTTTTAACTTCGGTGGCTTAGGTATATTTTTAAATTATTCAAGATTAAGGTGGCAAGCTACTTAAAGCTTAGAAATAAATACTGCACATTCTAAGTGCTACCCTTAAGTGCCAAAAGTCAAAATTATGCCAAAACATCTCCAATGCGTGACTATAAACATGTTAGGTCTTAAAAATACAGAAAATTTAGCACAATTTTAATGTGAAAACTCATCTTTGCAAAACAACATGCAATGGTATTTATAATTTCAATCACATACTTAATTTTAACTGTATAAAGTTGATATTTTGAGTTGATGTTTCTGAATCTCGATTTCTACTACAGGTACCACACTTAAGAGAATACTCCAGTGTCTTATTACCAACTCCCACTTCCTCTCACAAAACAATTCCGATCACCCTCCAGTAGCAACTGTGTAATACCTAATCCACAGATCCCATGCCGGCCACTGAGTAATGACCAGAATTAGTCCTAGTCTGCAGGACATAATCAAACCCAAGTCTCTATGAGGTGAAGGCAGCTTCTCTGAATCTGGGATACCAGTTCAGCAGTGACAGCAACAAGGAAAGTGTGTTGTTAAAATTGTACTTAAAATTTAGGAAAGAAAAAGCCTGGAAAACAAGCCAACAACTTAAAAAAAACCTTCTCCATTATCTACAGAAGGAAGTATTCATATTTTGTTCCTAAGACCTTAACTCCAGCCCATATGGAACTGTGGAACTGCTACCCACGGTCCCTGCAAACATACATGCAAAATCCTAGTAACATTCACTTACAAGGACAGAAGTGTAATATTGGCTGAGACTGGTCCTAGATTCGGAATGGTCTCCAATTCATTGTTGTTCAGTTTCCTTTAAGTGCCCAAACAAAACAAAACAAAACAAAACAAAAAAACAGAAAAAAAAGAAGAGCTGATTAGATCATCTGTAAATCACAGAGGTAAAAACTTCATAAAATTATTTAAAAATACCTCCCAAATTAAAAAATTTTTAATTAATTGCAATCCAAATGTTATTTATGGTTAAATAGCATATTTTATTCAAATCTCAAATAGAAAGTAAGACTCACACTTCTCGAAGGTTTTGAAGGTGGCTCATGGAATTTGCCTTGATGAAAGACAATCTGTTGTGACTCAAATCCCTACGAGAAAAAAAAAAAAAAGTCAAGTTGTAAGTGGTTTCCAAAAATCACTAGTAGTGTTTAATGATGTGCAAGATAGAATGGATTTATGAAATACCTCTATCGACACTAGTGACAATGTAAGAAAGATCTGGTTCATTCTATTCCCAAACTAGATGGCAACCAAATTGCCAAACTCAAAAATACAAATTCTGAGGACAAAATTAGTTTAGGAGACTGGTAGGTTCAAGTGCTTTAAGCCCACAGATTTTTAGGAGATGTTTTTTGGCAAAGGGTGAACAGGTCTTTTGTGAAATGGTTGTTTTGCTTCACCCTCCCCATCCCCTACCATCTCCTCACCTCCAACATGATATGATGAAGTCATGGCCTATGAAAAGTAGCTCATTAGGCAGGCTGTTGAAACTCAAACCTCTAAAGAAACCTTTTTACTATTATCATAAAATTAAGCATTGGTGTACTTATTATAGGCAACAAAATAGAAATTACTTTTCACACCTATTTGTTTCTCTGGGTTTAGGTACCAAATTACTGAAGGTATCATTGTGTGTATGTGTGTTGAGAGAGTTGAAAACAACTCTGCTTTCCTGAATTCCCCAAATCTCAGTAACTGATAATATAATGTATAATTTAAGCCACATAAACCACGTACAATGCAGGCTATATAGGAACCCACGATCAGATGTCTTCGCAATCATTAAATAAATCTGCTTCTTAGAGACTTCATCGGACTTACTAGCAATTTCCATAAGACATTGTTATTTTTAAAAAAGTGAAACAGAACTCCTACATATACAATATTCCTAGACTAGGCCATCTTGGCATTTAAGACTCCACAGTGTTAAAGAAAGCCCAGTGAACATTCGCTTACATTCCTTTATGTGTTGACACACTGAGTGTGTGCCTGCCGTGTGGTGAATTGAAAGTGGGAGGCTGGAACAGCTACTGAAAACCAGACTTACAAACAGTATGGCTGAAAGCTCTCTCCTCCAAAGAGGTTTACCAACCCTTACCAAATGAATTCTTTCAGTGTTTACTTTTAACCAACCAGCGTTTTAGAGAACCAAACTGTACTGGTGCAAAGCATGAACCAAAAATGAAAGGCAGAAACATCACACCCAGAGAAACACAGTATGACCTCGTCCAGTCTACAAAGTGAACAATGAGAAATCAGGGATCCTTTTAGTCTTTTCATGTTTGTTTTGAGACTAAACCTGGATTTCTCTATTTCACCTAAAAAAAAAAAAAAATCTGCAAAAGTTTTATTTGAAACATGTTTGCCTAAAGACCTACCAGACAGTAACAGACATGAGTAGATTTGTTCTGGTAGAGTTATAACATGAAAAAAAAATCTGGCACAGTCGTTAAACTATAAAAATCCTGCAATTACAACCACTGCGGTGCATGCTCACCACGCTGGAGCCAGACACTTTCCCTCCCAACCCAGCTCACGTCCGTCTGGAGTTCATCAAGGAACCCGTGAGCCCAACAACTCATGTTAGGATTCAAACAAAACCTGTGTGCTTTTAGCACCACAGACAGTCACAGATTTCCCACAGGGTTTCAAAAACAACCAGCAGAAAGAGTCCTTCACCTGGGAGGTAGCCTGAATCAACAGAAAGTCTCATTTGGATCCACTTAACGAAAGAACATTGAACCAGCAGAAAACTGCATCCCCTATTGTTTCAATGTGTAAAGGGAAAGGGGGAACCGATCTGGCATTTACATTTATTATAGGTGGTTTTCTTTTTAATTAGAAAAAAACGAAAACCACACTTAACTTCATTTTAAGGATTATTTTGTAAGGCAATCCTATGAGAAAAGAGGGTGTTTAACTCCCCACCCCCCAACCAGTAATGGAACGAGTTCTCCAACAAAAGACTTTAAAAATGAGAAACTGCCTTCCGAGAAGTGTGCACATGCTGGAGACCACTCATTTCTGATTCAGAAGCGGGAGCTGGCAACCTTAAATATTTTAGTTATTGCAACACACTTCCATTCCTGAGTTTTGTGTACTATTAAAACCACATTATGTGGGAGAAAAAAAAAATCACTTCTTAAGTGACTTTTACTGCTAAATACTTAAGCCATGAAACTTTTAATGTGTCTAAATTTAGGTTTAATACAGTTTATGTTTCAGAAATGATTACTTTCCAGTTAAAGGATGTCATATTTTCCTAAATCTTCCCTATATTGTTATACTGTTTCTATGGCTAGACCACATTAAAAACAAAAACAAGTCGTACAATGTCGGTATTTTCTTAAACCCATGAGAACGTTCAGTAAGAAAAGAAGATTCTTCATTTTCAGAGTTCCATGTATGAACATTTTCCCCAGGAAACCTTTTGAAAAAACTCTGTAGTGAGTTTAATAAATGGGATAAGTGGTAAGGCGGGGAGATGTTAACTATTTACCTAGAACTCAGCTGGCCAAATGCTGGAAAATCAAACTCTACATAGTAGAAAAAAATATCTTTCCTCCTGCACATTAGCAAGCAAACAAATATATATGAAAATAATTAATTTATAACATTTGGTTCCAGCCATCATTTTCTTCCTTTTAGCATTTGGAAATCTGACTTCCAAGTCAAATTTTAAAATGCAAATCCAGCACAGCTTCTTAATCAATCCCACTGGGGCCTGCAGAGCTGCTAATTCAGCAGAAATCTGGAAAGCTGAAAAACAAAAAGCCAGGCTGTAGCTGTTTTAAGACACTGATCCAAAGTGACTCATAAATCAGCCTGCTACGTTCAAGTTTTAGTCTGGAAAATATAGAAAAACAGCTGTGAAAACCATGAGGACCATGACCCCCACCCCAGCCCCAATTCTGGTACCGACCAGACGATTTATAACGGCTAACACTAAAGAAGTCACAGCAGCAGAAAGTACCTTTCGGACTTTCGCCTCAGTCCAGCTCATGCAAACATTTCTACGTGATAAGATAAATAATTCTGAAATTCCAGTGAAATTTTAATACATTAAGATCTCATTGGCAATTGAGCAACTTTTCCCTCTTTTGGCTAACATATTCCATCAAGCAACTCCTTTTTGGGTTCAGAACTCTTTGTAAACACAAAATCTAGATGTAAACTCAAGTCTGCCTTTAAAGGCAGTTGTAAGCAAAGCTTCAAATAGTTACTGTTTTAAAAGCCACTTTCATTAAAGTATTACAAGTCACTCTTTGAAAGAACTACAATATTATTTTACAGCTCAAACTATTTTTTTCACAAGTGAGATTCTTAAGGCAGTAAGTTACAACTAAATAAAGTGAAAAAAATACATGCACACGTATTTTAGAGAAATTAATTTTTTAAAACTTGCAAATTCAACAAATGATACAAAAGATAAAGTTTCCTTGAATGGTGCTCTCATAAATTAGTCCTAAGGCAAAGGTTTACTATCTTAATTACCTGAGAAAAAGTTAAGATATGGGAAAAAACAATACGTATTTTTCTACTTACTTCTGAACTCTGAAACAGTCTACCTAAATACTTACATAATTATGTAAAATTTAAGAAACAGCTATCTTATGCCTCTTGTTCCAAACACCAAGTAACTGAGAATTAAAGCCCAATTCCACGTGTTTTTCTGCCTCTTTCAAAAACAGAGAGAGGAGATCTCTAGAGCTTTAGGCACAAACAAAAGAAACATTTACAATAAAGAATTTAGACCACATGGTTTGGTGACAACTACAAAGCTGGTTAAAAGTCACACAAGTACAAGAATGACAGAGCTGTCCAATGAGTGATCACAGTGGGGCTTCTGACAACAGACCTAGTGCTTATTTGTACAAGTGGAACTTATTTTCACATATATTTAAGGAATGTGGACTTGTATTGAGACAATTTACTGCTGGCGGAAATGTAATTAAAGATTGTGCTAACCAAATAAACTGTAATTTGTTTTTAGTGTGCCACCAAATTATCTGCAAAACAAAATCCTTAATTAGGTCAGCTACTTTTAAGACAATGTTTAAATAGGTATCAAAACCCTTTTGGTTTAACTCAACTTCTAATCAAGACTAATAGTTTTTTTTAAGACATCCAAATACACGCACAAAATATATATTGTACACTGACATGACCCAGTAAGCTACTTGACAAGAAAAAACTACTAATATAAGCTAACTCTGGTGAATCATTCAAGCATTTCTAAACACACCCCAGGAAGAGCTATTCATTTTCTTTTTCTCATCTCTCTATTATTCATACATGTTCACCTCCAGTTCAGTTCCATATGTTGTCAATAGAGCCATTCACATTTCATGAATAAGGCAGCATGACCTCCACAAGAGGCAATTGAACAGAATTAGCCACAACTAATTGAAAGTCTTCCTGCTTCAGGTTAAAGCCCTTATCTCCTTCTTCAATTATAAAACAAAAACAAAACCAAAAAGCTATTAAACAAGACATCCCATGTTAAGAGATTAGAAAATCTAAAACTCTATAATTCCACTTTTTTAATAAACTAAGGTTTATTAACACAAAGAATATGATTTTGATGGCTAACCATCGCACAATTCACAAAGATTTTGATTTGCACAATGATTTAAAGACAGTTTCTTAAACTATGGAACCAAACTTCCTACTACTATTAGTATGTTAGGATAGTCTAGTAGAATTGTTTTAAGAATGTAGAATTTCCATTGCAATTCTGCTAGGCCCAAATCTGAGGGTCAAGGACGGACTGCACTTTATTTCTTTTAGACAAGATAACTTTTTTTTTTTTTTTTAAGAAACACAACTTGTAATTGCTTACATTTTACACAAGTTCGCCAATTTTAACAACACTAGTGCTGGGAGAGAATAAGGAGATGACATTTGGAAAGAATCAGCCTTTCCAACTAAACTACATTTTCTTCCTTGTTCTTCCACGCAGTTGGCAGTGATTTCAGGTTTTCAGACTTCACAGCTCGCATCCAAAAACTTGCATAACAGCGCTCAGTCCTCTCTCTTAAACTGTTTGCTGCAAAGCTACCGAAATCACGCCCTTCGTTCTGAAAACTCTAGTTCCTTTCTTTCCATATCTACTGATTAGTTTCGCCAACTTCTTACCGGAACCAGAATGTGTTACAATTTGGTTGAAGCTTTACAGAATTTCCTACAGCGAAATTAAGCACAGGGGCGAAAACAAGACGATGTCTACTATAGCTTGGACAGTGACAGAACTCTGGTGAGGAGGCTTCTCAAATGAAAGGAGCTCATTCAATTACTGGCTGGGAACAGGAAAGGGGGCCTGAATGAGTTAGAAACTGTAGTTGAGCCACAGGATCGTACCCTCTGGGAGAACTGCGAACTCTAGTAACCCGCAGATTGCCACCTCTGCTGTCCCGCCCCCAGAGGGGCGCGCATTTGAATCCAGGGCCCGCAGGCTCTGGGCTCAGGACCTTGACTCTAGTCCTCGGGAGTTGTCAGTGGCTCCTTTCCCTCGCCCACCTGCGGCCAGGTGGGGCGAGCCCAGGGCCCACCGCGCGGCCCGCTAGGCACGAGGGCTGGGCAACTGAGTCCTCGATGGCTCCTTTTCCATCTTCACCGAGCACCGCTGGAGGCCTGGGTCAGGAGCAACTCCCCCAGAAAAGGCAACCGCGCGCCCAGCGAACCGGCCCCTCGCGATTCTCAGGCGGGTCCCCCTCTGCCCTAAGGAGAATACTTACAGGCGAGCGATCCAGGGCGGGAGAGACTCGGGAAGGCGCGCCAGCCGCTGGCGGCTGCAGTCCAAGAGGTCCCCGAGGCACCGGCAAGGAGCGGGACACAGGCGCTCGGCGGCGACCTCGGAAGACTGCCCCAGTGCCCCCGGGCTGCCGCGACCGCTGCCCTCGGCCGGGCCCAGGCGTCCCAGCACCGCACCCAGCAGCAGTCCCAGTGCCACCGACGGCGCGCGGAGCTTCTCGGGGGCGCCCATCGCGCTCCTGCGGCCTCTCACCCTGCCCGGCGCTCCGCAGCCGGCGCGCGCTGGGGGCCCGGCACCAACTTGCAGCCGAGAGTGGCCGCCCGCGCTCGAAGTCGCGTGTGCGCGCCCTTGTCCTGCGCTGCCGATAAAGCCCTTTCTTCTACCGCCAGCAGCTCAGCCCTTGCATGCCCCGGAGCAGCGAGAGGGGAGCCAGAGAAGACCGCCAGCTGCGGCGGCGCTGCAGTCCGAGCAGCGTCGGCGCTCCCAAGTCCCTATCGCCCGCTAAGAAACTTTTTCGCCTCCTCCCCGCGATAACGCGCAAAGTCCCGGCGCGGCGGAGTCGGGAGGCGGGGTGTGCGGAGCTGCCGCGCGTCCATTGGCCGGCCCGGCCGGGTCGCCCCGAGTCCACGTGACAACAACAGGGCTCCAGACCCGGGCGGGAGCGCGGGAGAAAGTGGAGCTGAAATTGTAGGAAATTCGGAGTTATATTTTCCAGCCTCTGCGGCCAGCAGTCTCCACTACGTCCTGGGAAACATATATCAAGTGGAGTTGAAGAGAAAAAGGGAGTGTGCAAACAACTGAACAAAATTAGGCCAGCTTTCGGAGTTGGAGGTATTTTAGCGGACGTGAGGGGAGTAAAGTTAGCTTTATCAGGAAAACTTTAAATTCCAAATCGAAAAAAAAAAAAAGAATTAGAAATTATCCTATCATCCACAGATGAAACAGTGGTTTCAGTGAAAATACAGTTGTTCTAAATTAATATTGGTCGATTTTTTCCCCGTCATATATTTGCTCAAAAAATAAAAACAATAAAATTGTTGGAAATGGTATACTGCGTTACCAAACAGCCACCGTTAGTGCACTGGCTAGAGCTGTGGGGAAATTATGGGAAGTGACCTTCTAATAAGTTGTGATGGCAGTCATAGAGTGTATGCAATAGCTGGAAATAATAAAAATAGTCACAGTTACTTCAAGGCAAAATGAGAGCTAGGACCTTGAAGGAAAAGATTAACATAGGCACCGTGGTCTACCTGGGCTTTGAGTGATGACAAATTCTTATTGAGAATGCTACCAGGCTAGAAGTACTTGTCTACCTGCGTGGGGTGGGGGGTGGATTCAGGCATATGGGACTTCCCCAGTGAAGTCTATGTTCTAACATAATTCTTGCAGGTGACTGGGGCTGCAGGATTTTGGAAACCCCAGATTTCATCTGTGAACATCCTGCTCCTCTAGGTGAGGATATATACCCAGAGAAAGTTACTAACTTGTTTATGGTAAAAAGAGGAAGCTTATTTTACAAATGGGACTTCTGCAGTCATTGTTTCTTATGCTGTCTGCCAAAGCATTCTGTATGGGCTGTTTAAAATGCTCATTATTGAGGAGTAGAGATAGTTTGTAGAGTGGAGACTTTAACTTTTTAATTTCCACTGTAGCAAATCACCTGTAAAAGCAACCCCATTCTTGAGGGAGAGAGAAGACTCACTTTGAAGGTGAAAAACACTTTAGGTAAGATATCCCATCCTCTTCCAGTTACTGTTAGTATCAACTCCACCACTCTTTTTGATGATGTGCAATTAGGAAATATTTATAATGACGGCACCTTGGTTTTGAATGATCATTCTGCCTGCTTGGAGTCAAGAAACAGAACAGTCATGGTATGGATTTTTCAGCTCAGTCTTCTCCATCTATTTCATGTAAGGAAAGTCAGGCTTAGTGCATTGGAGTTTTTTAAAGGAAGTATGCTATTATGCACATGCCTTTGTGTATAAGTATGGCAACTTGCTAATTAACATATCACCCATATGACAGAAGTAGTGAGAAATGGGCTACCATTTTGAGGAAGTTTGGCTTGGTTTCTTTCCCCATTTTCCACTTTCCTTATTTCATTTTCTGTGAACTTATTCACACCTCTGCGCTGATATTTACCGTATCTATATTTCTGGCCCACATCTTTCTCTTAAACTGTAGACTTGTGTATTCAACCACGGTCATCTCACACTGGATATTCAAATGTAACATGTCTAGAATTAAATTTCATCACCCCTCAGCCTTACTCCTTTTCCTCCTGAGTTAGATATCTTGAAGAATGATACCTCCCTCTGTCCCCATGTCAACTACTCCAGAAACCTCATTCACCTTTAATATTTCCTCATTGTCACCATTACCTCTACAATCAGCAAGTCCTAATGAAGCTAGCAGCTACATGTATATCTCTTATCCATCTCCATAGATACAATGCAAACTGAGACCACCAGCAGCTCATGCTTGGATTACTGCTACAGCCTCCTCTGTCTGGCATTGCAGTCTTTTCTCCACGTTGCACTCAACATGATAAGCCAAAAGCTCAAATCAGAGCTTGTGACTCAAAAGCCTGATTCCTACTTTTCTCAGAGTAAAGTTTAAATTCTCTGGCATAACATGTATTTGGCTTCTAATCACCTCTTTAATTCATTTTATTTAATCCTGTTCCTTTTACTCTAGGAACTACTGGCAGTTCTTTTCCCATGCTGCCCTCATTGCCTTTGGCTCTCTTTCATCCCCTGGGGCCTATGTCTCTTTCCCATCTGATTGGTTTGGGCTTCGACTTAAGCATTCCTCTTTTTGAAGAAGGCTTCCTTGAATCCTGTTTTAACTATCCCTCACACTACCAGCATATCCACTATTCACTGGAATGTAATTGGCCATTTTTACTCTGGAACTTCCTAGATAATGCTTAGAATTTCCAAGTCAGTTCCCTGGATTAGCTGTTACTTTCAATTCCTTCAGTAAGATTTATTGACTAATACCTATGAGTAGCTGAAACCTAGATGCAACCAGCCCCTACCTAGTATGTCCTTTCTTTACAGGGTTGCTCCTTCCGAGAGGAGGTCGATTTGTAGTAGTTCCAGGCTTGCTTATGTCTATAAGCAAGTGAATTAAGTATTATGTTAACCAAATAAATCCGAGTGCAACCGGAAGTAGCTTTATTCCTTGTAACAAATAATGAATTTGGTAGCTTAATGATAGCTAATGATGAATTTGAAACTTGGGAAAGATTCTTAAAAGGTAATTACTAAAACACAATGCTATCGGATTAGGTATGGACAAGACAATTGAATAACTGGGGAGAAATTATAGATTAGGAGATTTCTTCACACGGATTGCTTTGCAAGCATCTTGAAGTTCTTCTCTCACTTCAAAGTAATTGTAATTGGGAATCAATCAGCAGAGGATATTTTATGGACGTGGCTTATGCTTGCTCAGAATTTCACATGGTCATTGGGAGAGCTAACAATGATGACATGAAATGGTTTTAGCACACATTAATATGGCTATTCTCCATCTCAATATGACCTCAATGATTCAGTCAATAAAAAGGGGAACTAGTTCTACATGGGAACTTTAAATCATTGTACTATTTTCCCAGACTTCTAAAACCCTTTATGAACCATAGGACAGAACTTCTATGGTGTGGCTACTGAATGAGCAGTTTCCTTACACGCCTGTGCCATTTTGTTTGTAGGTACGTAGACAGTAGGAATGGAGGCAGAATGTCAGGAAAGATGGTTTGTAATAGAGGAGGAAAAGGAACATAAAACTCTGTTTAATCTCCTCGAATTTATTGGTGGATAACAGTGGTCCAGGAACAGTTTTGACGTGTCATTGAGTTCTCTGATCTTCTTATGAGGTAGTTTATCTGTGCACACACATTCATACTCACAGACACACAGACACACACACACAAATACTAAGTAGTATCAAATGTTGATTTTCCGTTCTTTTGGCTAATCTCTCATAAATAAGGATTTAGTGTGAAGGAGCCAGATTCATTTTGAACGGAGGTCTTTTAACATTTGGATTAAAAGGAGATCAAGTGCTGGCTTTCTGTACTCCTTCAGAGGTTTACACTGGTTAACTGGGTGGTTGAAAACTGGCTATTGGAATGACTTACATCACCCCAGACAACTTTGTCCTGGTGAATGGCAATTCCCATCCATTTTTCTAAAACAGCCTTCTGTTGCCCGTTTTGTGGTTAGTGTAACCCAGCCCCAGTTCTCTCTTCAGTTTTCCTGTTTGGTTTTTTTTTTCCCTCTCTCTGGCAAGTGTGAGACTTTCTTATCTTGAGTGTTGGCAAGGGCAATGACTCACCGATAAAAAGTAATAGAGGTGCTAAGCTGTCAGTTTTAACATCCCAGGGCAAGAATGAAAGCTAAACACTCAGTACTTGCTTTATCATTACAATGAATGACACAGTTTGTGTAAGTGTGAACTGTGAAAAGGGAAAAGAGATAAGGCAAAGGAGGAAGAAAAGCACAAAAAAATCCCCAGATAATGATGCCAAAAGCAAATGTTGCTGTACTCTGTAACCTAACCATATCTTTTCCCATTCATTAAGGCATTTTAGAAGAAATAGATAACCCTCCTCTCTCACAAAAAGTGCCACGCTTTACTTAGAGAACAGGAGAATAGAATCTTACTTTATAAAAGCCCTGTGAACATGTCCTAACTCTTCAGAAAATAGAAAAATGAAGATGACCACCCATCTGTTTCTCTCAAGTTGGCAAACTGTGTGATATTACTGTAATTGAAAACAATGTTATCTGAACATTCTATTCATTTAACCACAAATTACACATATCCTATCTTTTATTTTACCCATTTCTCAAGTCACCCACTAGAATAATGAGTGCTCTCAGCAGAATTCATATTGTGGGCAGAACTAGATACCCTGGAAATCACCTAGGTGTAGCCAGGAACTACTGGGAGTGGGGAGCCCTGAGGTGGGGGTAGGGAAAGGGTGAGAGCTCAGAGCTATGACCTCCTCCAGATTTTTCTCAGTGGTGTGTCCTTCCCCTGCAACAGATCCTTTCAATGGTCTCCAGTTTCTCCATTCTTTTAAGGACTTCAGGGTATATTATCTTCTTTCAATGTCTGTTCCCTTCTTTTTCTGTAGCCAGAATATTACTAAGACCCTACTGGGAATCTCAACAGATAAAAAATAGCCCACCCTGTCAAAAATGCAGAAATCCAAATGATTGAGAGTTTGTTATGGAGGATGTGAGATAGTTAGAAGGCTGACAGGGAGGTCAAATGCATTGTAGCTTTGGCGTATATTACCTCATGGTGCTGGTCTGTAAAACAGGTGAAGACTGACACGTT